AAGGATTTCAGAATTTATTATATATAAATTTATTGGGAGGCCTTGAAAATTCAGGGCTTGGAGTAATATGATTATTTTTTAAAAGACCTTTTTGTCTGCAGTGTGGATAGTTAATATATTATAAAGACAACAGTTAAAAACAAAAGACAAAGTGAAGCTTTGCTATGACCTCAACAGGCAATCAGGGTAATTTGGACCACAGAGGTGCAGTGGGGGTGAAAGGAAGTGAATGGATTCTAGGCAGATTCTGGAAATAGAAATGACAGAAGTTAAAGGATGATGAATGGGGGTCTATCAAAAAAGAAGAACTGAGGACAGTTAAGTAGTTTCAGGGATTGTGGTAACATGCTAAATTGGACATAACTAGAGGAAAATAGTTTTGTGGTAGGGGCATCAAGACTGTCTTGTTTTGACATGTTAAAATAAGACATCTACTAGATATCACATAGAAATGTAAAGTTTGCAGTTTTGCATAAACAAGTCTGGAGAAAAAAAGATTTGGACTGGGCTGCGAAGCTGCCCACAGCCTCCGCAGCTCCAGTTCGATCCCCGGCCACTGGCGAGGGTCCCACATGGTGCACAGACCTCTCCTGCCACGCCCGCTGCTCCCCTCAGCAGTGTATCTCATCAGTCTGCCTGCTCTGTTCCCCGCTCTGGCTCTGGTGAATTCTCTCACCCTCCCGCGCTTCTGACTGTACCCAGTGCTTGTATAAATAAATAAATAAATCTTTAAAAAAAAGAAAAAGATTTGGACTGAAAATAGAATTTGGGCATTATCAACATATTGGTGATATTTAAGATACTGGACTGAATGGGACCTCCGAGGGTGGAGATGGTCCCAGGGAAAGTTGGGTATGATACAGACACAGGAGTAATCATTGAGAACAGTAACTAGAGCATTGTAAGGGCAGATTAGCATTAGGAGGGGCAGAAAGTTCCTTGAGACGTGAAAGGAGTAAAAGTGAATCCGGAGCACAAATGGCTGGGCTAGAGTTTGGTAGGCAAGCTTTCCATTGTATCAAGAAGGAATTTAGGATTGTGCCTTTGTCAACACCTTGTTTAAACTAAACATTTTTGTGTTTTTTGCCTTTATACTTGTAACAAAATTCCATACCTTCTGCCTCGGTCAGGATCAGTCTTTGGCGCTAGATCCAAACTATTCAAAATGAATGCAACAGCCTCATGGTTTATCCCAGAATTTTTTTTTTTTTTTATAATTCTCTTACGTGTATTTTTCCTTTGACTTTTTTTTTTTTTAATGGAAGGGTACATGGATATGACAAACACAAATATTCACACACCTTAGCATTAATAAATTGGTATTTTCATCTGCTTTCTTTTGTTAGGAAACAAAACATTACAGAGCTGAAGGTCTCTTCACCAACACTTACTGTGTCTCCTCTACTTTCCCAAACCACCCACCAGCAAGAATTTGTGGGTGCTTTCCCTTGCCATCAATTACTTAATGACTTCACACACTTGCATATAATTCCTGAACTATAGACAGCAGGATTTTTGTGGTTTTTAAATGTACATTAACAATGCCATACTTTATGTAGCATTTTGCACATTTTTTAAAAACTCGTATTGTTTTTTTAAAAATCCAACCCTGTTTGCGTATGTAGATATTGTTCTTTTATCAGTGATATTGAATTCCAGCATTGAATTAAACACATTTTGATTATACATATTTTACTTATATATTTAAATGGTGATGGACATCTATGTAGATTCCCATGTTTCCCATATTACAAACAGAACTGCAAAGTCCTACATATGACTAACTTTACTCTCTCCATTATACCTTTTCTTATCATCGATAACATATGGGGGTGTTTCTCTCATGTGTGTATCAGCAAATGAATCTATGAATGGAGGATATTTGCACTCTGATTGGATTCTGCCATTGGCTCTACTGTGTGACTGTAACATTTCCAATGCACCCCACCCCCAACAAATGGAAGAAACTCTGTCCTAGTTCCTCACTAGTAATTGGTTGTGTTAGTATTTACAAACACTTGCCCATCTGACAATCAAAAAAAAAAAAAAAAAAAAAAACCACCAAAAAAGCAAAGAAGCAAAAGTGTTTGCTGCTTTGCTTGTTTCCATGGAGTTGAGCATGCTTGTTGACTGAAACTTCCCTCCTTTTTTTAAAATATAGTTTGTGTTGCTAATTATTTTTAATTGTACTGTTAATTTTTTGTGAGGCAACATTGTTGTACAATTGAGAGGTGTAGGATTCCACCTTTCATGTGCATGTTACCATGTCACAAGCACCACAACACCCGTAGTCCTGTCCTTCTAGAGGGTACCTAGGCAGGGATGTCAGTTTCCATTTCTTAGATGCCTTTCTAACATTTATTTTTTTTTTTGCAATTTCATTAATGTAACTTAATAGACTTCCTGTCTTTTAAGAGGAAATGGTGGTTGAATAAATTCTTTTAATGTCTGAATATTTAAACTCATTCCTGCCATCCCCCCTCCCTCTTTCTCAAGTAAGAAATTCTAATTAAGTGTTTATAGTTAAGGGCCTCCCTGGTGGCGCAGGTGGTTGAGCACAGCACTCTAAAGCTGTCCATAGCCTTGTTAGAGCGGGTTCGATCCCAGCCAGGGAGATACCCACATGGCATGGCAGACCTTCCCTGTCTCGCCCGCTGCTCTGGTCCTCTCACCCTCTTGCCCATCTGGCCTGTACCCTGGATCTTGTATGCATGAATAAGTACATCCTTTAAAAAAAAAAGTGTTTATAGTTAACATATGTGTTGTGCAACCAAGTCAAGGCCATTGACCATCAGCCTAACAGTTTAAAAGAGAATTTTGGAGCCCATTGCATCATCTTTACAGGTTTTATTTTTTTAGAACTGGGGTGTAGAGGGCGGGAAGACCACAGTGCAGGTTTTCTGATCCCATGCAGACTGGGTAAAGGAGGAGTCAGAGTCCTCAGTGGTTTTTGCAGGTCTTTTATTGGGATTTATCCAGTACACAGCAGGCAGGGGTGCTGGGGGCCTGCTCCCGGCCCCCAGCAAGTCTTCACTCTATCTGGGCTCTCTGGTGATCTCGGCTTCTCTTCAGCTTCTGCTGCTGCTACTGTCATCCCTCTGACGCCGCGCTTAAAAGCCCAGTCTTAGCCCAGGTGAATCCCATCTACGTATGCCCACACCCTACTCCAGGTGCCGCCATCAGGCATGCATTCTGGACCTCAAGGATCCATCATCTATCCTGATGGTGGGAGGGCGGAAAAGCCTGACATTCTTCCTTACCCTACATGGGGTACATACAGGCTGGAGTCGTGAGGGGTGAGAAGATTCACCAGAGAGACCAGGGAGCAGAACAGGCAGATGTACCGAAACACACTGCTGAGGGGAGCAGCTGGGAAGACAGGAGAGGTCTGCAGCGCCATGTGTGTTGCTCCTGGCCAGCGGGGTTCGAACTTGCACCACAAAGGCCGACGGCCTCGGACAGCTTCACAGTGCAGAGCTCAACCCCTATGCCACCAGAGAGGCCCCATCTTCACAGGTTTTATTGTTTTCTTTTTTTAAAGATTTATTTTATTTATACAAGAACTGGGGTACAGGCCAGATGTGTGGTGGGGGGGAGGTGAGAGGATTCACTAGCGACACAGTGGGGAGCAGAACAGGTATTCGGACTGAAGTACACTGCTGAGGGGACCAGTGGGTGAGGTAGGGTGAGGTAGGAGAGGCCTGCCGTGCCAAGTCGGTTGCTTCCAGCCAGCGGGGTTCGAACTCGCACCGTAAAGCCCGACAGCCTCGGACAGCTTCAAAGCGCTGTGCTCAACCCCTGCGCCTCTGGGGATTCGCAGGTTTTAATAGTAAGCAGGGCAAACAAACCAGTAGGGAGACAGCAACTTGAGTCCCTCCCCTAGGGTGACACTGACATTTTATCCCAGCTTTCCTAGTCACAGGGGTGCACACTTGCACATGCGCACACATCCGAGTTCAGGTGTCCACACACTCCCCAGCGCCTTCTACAGTCAAGGCCGCAGGTGATAGCCACAGAGGCTAGTGGGGTAAAACGCCTGGTTAATTCCATTTACTGTACAGTATGCTTTATCTTAGCTGATTTTAATCTGTTGCTTTAAAAAAAAATTTTTTTTTTGATTCATAGATCCTGTAGATCTCTCATTTCCATGTAAGTCATTATCACCCAGGACTTCCCTGCCACTTCTGTGGAAATCACTTGCCTATGTTCTCATGCATGATTATCTATTATCTAGTGGCTAACATACTTATTTTCTCTTAATACTTTCACGGTTCTGGTCCCTGTCTTATTGCACTGTTTTGATGGTTACCAAGTGAGTTTAATTTCATTCCAGTTTAGCTTTTTCTGAGTTATCTGATTTAATGGATTCAACCAAAATACATTTGTTGAGTTCTTTATATGTGCTGGACACTGTTAGGAAATGGATCACATTTGTATCTATCATAACACATCCTGACTTCCTTTTATTAATGTAATTCATTATTTTCATCTGGACACTTGGACTTTATTATTTGAATACTAGAGTATGAAAACCTTGTTGGAGGTAGGGATAAATCTTAACTTGTTTCAGATGGGGGGGTTAAAACTTGTAAACATCTTGGTTACATGCAGAATTTTTCTGATAAGTTTTAAAAACACATGAACTCATCTATTTGAAAGCTTACTGCATGCCAAACCATGACTTTTTAGCATTTATTCCAACTTACTCTTTTTTCATAATTTACTCTTAACCAACCTTCTGATAATTCCATCTGAGAAGACATTATACGGAAATTTTTTTCCCTTTTTGTCAGTGTAGGGTAAGGTAAAAAAGTATCAGGCTTTCTGCCCTCCCGCCAGTAGGATGGATGACGGAACCCTGCGGTCCTGAATGCATGCCTGATGGCGGGCACCTGGAGTAGGGTGTGGGCATAAGTAGAGGGGATTCACCTGGGCTGAGACTGGGTTTTTAAGGGCGGCGTCATGGGGATGCCAGCAGAGGCAGAGAACCAGAGAGAGCAGCACCGCGAGAGCAGCAGAGACCACCAGAGAAGGCCGGAGAGCCCAGACAGAGTGAAGACTTGCTGGGGGCTGGGAGGCCTGTCAGCCTCCTCCCGGCCCCCCAGCACCTCTGCCTGCCGTGTGCCCGGTAAATCCCAATAAAAGCCTGCAAAAGCCACTGAGGGCTCCAGGACTCTCTCCTCCCTTACCCCGTCTGCATGGAATTATAGGAAACCTGCCCTGTGGCCCATCCTGCCATTATAGTCAGGAAAACAAAAACCTCCCAGCCCCATATTGAAGGAGCTTAGGGAGAATAAGTAAACGTTTCACAGAAAGGATTTTCTCCTTGAGGTTCCTCATCCCTTGGCCCTTCTCATTTCTCTCATCTCACCTGGTGATTTATTGGCTTGAAAAACATGGCTATCAAAAGCCAATTGAGCCTTGTCTGTGCGAACAATGGCCGATGTGGGGCAGGACTCTCCTCAGCTCTGAGGGAACATGCAGGCAAAGTATGTAAAATCATGAGAATATCTTTATCAGGCATGTGAATTGTAATGTCTCGGTTTGGGAAAGGAAGTAAGTGGACTAAATTTTATTGCCTCTAAAATAGACTCTCAAATGGAAGCCCCTCTGCTCTTAACTTGAAATTGGCTTGTTTGGGTTGGTAATTCAATCCCTGTGGCTTATGTGATTATTTCAGGATTGGGGGAGTGTTACAGTGTTAAGGTGTAAGCCAGGGGTTATGTATGTGATTGTGCCGTTATGAGTTTACAGTTGTTTGAAGTTCACTACTGATTTTATTAGAAACATATCTGGGCTTTTGGGAGAGAGCCAGGATTTCTCGAGTTTCAAGTAGTGTTGTAATGGAGACGTTTTGTCCCTTGTAAATACTAAGCAGCATAGATTTGTATTGGTAATCACCAAATTTTCAATCCAAAGATCCCTCCATTCAGCCCAGATGTCTGGTTCTTATCCATTGTCAGGGGACAGAATCTAGTGACAGTGCATCACCCGGTTACCATGAGCCTTTAATACCTCACCCCAAAGGCAACGTATTCTTGAAGTCTTACAGCTACTGCATCTGGCACTCTTTAAGTCCTGTGGGCTTTTCCTTCTCATCTCGAGGGAATTTAGTGCTGAAATACTTTCCATGCCACGCAAGACAGGAAAACACAGCATTTTGCCTCAAAATAACCTGCTTTCTTTTTTCAAGAATTTTTTAAAAATCATGAACATATGCCAGCAAATGAAACCTGGAGGATTTATAAATGGCATTTCCTGAAGGGTTGTTGTGTGTTCATACTTCTTATTGGTTGCACCTAACTTAACCTAGGCATCTTTCTGCATTCATTTACCTTTAAGTTTTTAATATATTGTTTCTAGGCTATTTTTGGAGTCCCCGCAGGAAACTACCCATATGCAAAGCATTGCTCAGGAAGACCATGTGTTTTCAGTGATGAATCAAACAAAGCCTCACAACTGATGCTAATGGAGGAGAATCTCCTTACAAAACCCCTTCAATCCCTTTGCTTTCTCCCTCCCTCTACTTCTCAGCCACTTCCCCATCCCTCTCCACTCCTTGTATCCTGAGCCAGGGAGACAGCTGTTTTCTCCCACACATGGGAGGAGAGGATGAATACTAAACCGTGGTATCTGGCTGTCTGTCAGAACAATAGCAAACGGCACACCTGTCAGCCTGTGGCAGGCAGGGATGGTAAAATGACTAACGTTGTTTTCCTAGTTGACAACAAGCCACCAGTTCCATTTCTCTCTCCTTGAGTTCACAAAGGCTTACATTTCTCCCTTGAGGCCCTGAGGGAATTAAGCAGTTTTACTACTGCTTCTAATAAACAGCTTCCTTTAGAGGAGGTGACTTTTGCAGGGCAGGCTTTATTGCCCCCCAGTACCCTTTTCTCTACCCTCCCTGGAACAGTGATACAAGAATTCTTTCTGGCTTTATAATCTCTGCTTTGCATCTGTAAGCATTTTTTTTTTCTGCAGCCACTCTGGCTTCCTAGAGGCAATCCGAAAGCCCCTTCAACTAATGGCTCATTTAGCGATCAATTTGTCAAATAATGTTCACAGATGTTTTTCTGATGGAGCAGCATGCAGTGCAGGTAATGACTGAGTGAGTGATCACTTATGATAGGTGACAGGATCAAGGCATTGCTTTGTCAGGCAGCTCAGGATTTGGGGTTACTGGTCAACTCGAGAGAGCCACGTTCCTTTTTATTTTAGAAATATTTTAAGAGCCTCATGGTTCCATTCCAATTGAGTCATTGTCTTGCAGCTTCAGTAGTGACTTATAGCCACATCAGGAAGAGTCTTACTGATAAGGAATCTAGGGGAATGTAAAAGCCATGGCTCCCTTAACACTGCTTCCTGGCTTTCGCCTTTGACTAAAATATTGGGGCTGAGAGCATAAAAACATCACATAGGTAATATCATGGTGGGCTCAAAACTCTCATACTTCTTCACATTTCTCACCTACCAATACAATTCAAAATCAGCCAACAGGAACAGTTATTTTAACAGTAAATGTGGAGAATTCCATAGCTGTTAATCTGGGATGATCTGTCAAAGAACTAAAAGAATGGAATCATACTTAACTTTAACCACCAAAGCCAGGACAGGAGTGCTGAGCTGAGCAGTCCAAGATTCCCAAAGCTGTGTACTAGCTATGCTTTCTTTCATGGTTGTGAAATGTTTCCATTACCCTACAAATGATTATAAAACCTACAATGAGTTTAGTTTCTGGAGCATTGTATTTTGAGTATAGTTTAATAAGGTGTGACAAAAACACATAATTTCTCCACATGTTCTTCCATTGTGAACAGATCTTTCGTGCTAGACCAGATGATGTGAACAGGACCAGAAGCTTTGGAATTGGAAATAAAGAATCAGCAGCAGACAACTACAACACTGAAGGTATGAGGAGAATTTTAAAATTACTAGTTGACCGCAAAGCAGTCACCGAAAATCTTTATCCTCTGCTTTCAACTCAGTTTGGCTTTCACCAGAGATAAACAAATTTAATTATATCTTACATGAAATGTGAAATGTTTTGGAATGAAAAAGAGGATCTTGAACAAAGATGGACAGAATCCATTTAATAAGAACATTAATAAGGAAAGATGCGTTGAATCGATGTGCAGCTGTGGGTGTTACAGGATAAGGCTTTCTGCTGCTCTTGATGAGCAGGAATTGAACTGTTCTTCCAACTTGATGCCCCAACCTTTTTTTCCCCTCAAGTGAGCTGGCTCATTTATTTTAATGAGAGTTTCTGACTAAGGAGAGAGACTGGCAGAGCTCTGCAACTGCGCCTAATCCATTTCAGCACTGTCTGAATCTCTTTTATGCTTATGTTGTCTTCGAACACTGCATGAGGTTACTAAAGAAGAGGATCTGCTGGTGCTTGTTAAAATTGCTACATTTGTGTAGGGTGGAAATAACAGTATTTAGCATTCTCAAAGATATTTTAGGTGACTTACGGTATACAGGAACACAGATTTCTGAGCTATAATAGACAGTGTATAGAAACAGGTGAGTGAAATACTCCAAAAGTTTCCTCAATGGCACTAGCCCCCAATGCTCTGAGAGTTGGCATTAAGTACCCTTCTTTTTGTATATTTTGGTCCACATGTGGAGATCTTAAACTTATTTATTTAAATCTTGGGGCAGTGTCTAATTGCCTTGACTTTGCCTGTGGGATTCGAGGATGTTGGAAATTGGAAGTTTTTATGTACTTCAGTTTTCATTTGGAAATTTGATGAGGATGTGTCAACGGTTTTTCTAGGCAAATTGATATACCGTTTATTGAACACTGTGAAAGGATCAGCATGGTAAAGAAAAAGAGCCAGGCCAAGTTTCTCACAGGCGGGAAACACTAGTACTTTGCAGATATTACCCAATTTATTCCTCAATACAGATCTAGATGTTATCTGCTTCATAGGTGAAGAATCTGGAGGTTAGAGAGATTTTAAAAGTTGGCAACACAAACTGAAATTTTAGTCTAAAATCTGTGCTATTATAGACTTTATATTAGTTTCAGGTACATAGTATGGTTTCAACATTTGCATATTATATGATTGACTGCTATAATAGGTATAGTATACATTCACATTTTTTTCTTGTAAAAACTCTATGATTTACTCTTTTTTAGCAACTTTTGAATATGTAATACAGAATTACTAACTACCTTGTATGGAGGGAGGATGTTGAGTTTTGATCAAGTTGGCAATCAAATTTCTAACAGATCTTGATTTTTGTCAGCCCTGTCTTCTATTTGCTTGTATGGGTCCAATTTGATATGTTTTTCTTAATTCTAAACATGGTCCTACTGTATAGTGTGATCATGTTTACTAATGGCATGATCTTTTGTGTTCTCAAATGAATGACAGGTGGTCAGGGAAGTCTTTCTATTCTGGTATAGCCAGAACTTCAACATGTTCTACCATTGCTTAACCTCAGCTAGCTGCTTTGCTCTGCTTGAGCTCTCTACCGCTTGTTCCATGGTCCTCCATGGTCCAGAGAGGGGTCCCAAGAATGAAAATACGATAACATCATTTTTGTTGTTTCTGGATATATTCCCTCATATATTACTCCTGGTAAGTTAGGAATCATTCTATTGAGATTTTGATTGGTTTGCTTTCAATCTCAAGAGAGTCAACATTTTTCAATATAAACTCTGTTTAAGAAAAAGTATATCTTTATAGTAAGTCAAGCTGTATGTCCCTCAATTGCTTGTAATAGGTTCTACACTCCTCAGTTTGTATAAGGTATAATATATTGTCTCTATTACCCACAAGCTGTTGTGGATAAGCTTTTTTCCCCCCAGCTTTATATGATAAATCTTAATTACAAGAAATCGGCAGTTTTGTATTTTACCTTAAATGAGTTTTTTAAACTCTTATTTTCTTCTAGTTTTCTAGCAGATTATTTTCTTTCTGCATATCTAGGTAAAATTTGTTTTTCACTACTTGCTTATATTGTGAAACTGTAATAAATAATTTCAGAATATTGGTATCTAAAATCATCTTATCACCAAATTTAAGGGTATTTCAAAATTAAATACCATGATGTGTGCTATTTACTAACAAGTTAAATATAAGCATAAGAAGTTATGTATACTTCTCGCACTATTTTTTAAAGTTAAATTTTGATAACTCATCTAATACACCCATGACCTTCATAAACATTGTCCCATAGCTTTTTCTTTATTATATTATTAATTTGGTGATTACTATAATGATACTCTAAAATGTAGCCACTTTGTTTTTTTTTTTTTTTTTTTTTTTTTTCTGAAACTCCCTTGCATGTTGGCTATAAATTTTTGGTCAACAATGTATGTTAATTTGTTTTCCTTTTATTTGCTGTTTTTGTCAGATTTTCAATTTTTACATTGGTGGTCATGGTAAGGTGAGAGCCAATTGTTCACTTACAATTTCTGCCTTCTTCATTATTGTTTCAGTTTTCTAGTCCTTCCTGAATCAGTTTTGGTAACTTCGTTTCCTAAACATCATCCTTTTTCATTCAAAAATCAGAAAATAGATCATATTCACAGGCATGTAACTACTAATTCTTAATTTCATGAGCCAGAAATAACCTTCATTACTATTTTGGGAATATTTTCTTCTTTTCTTCTTTTTTATTATTAAAACCTGTACTGTTCACCTCTATATCTTGTGTTGCCTTCAGGAAGGGGGTGATGAGTTGGTCGATCAGAGATCATTAAGTTTTATCCATTATGTTGTTTCGGGAGGTGGAGATGGATGTGGAAGGGTGCTGATATGGCTCTCAGTGGTAGGAGCACAGGAACAACAGAAAAACTGCTGTACACATGGATTGGAGAAATATATGGACAGTGGGAACTTTTCCACCTACTGCAATGAATTTAGAGATAAGATCCTCTTCAGAGCAACGACTCCACACAACAGAATAGAAAAAATAAGGCAAGTAATTTCAAGAACCATATTCCCTGTGTTACAAAGAGAGAGGGGCTCTTTTGAATAGTATAGAAATCCTGACAGAAAGTGATAGTAAATGTTCTGAGCTGATTCAGGTGGAAGAGTCAGATTCTATGACTGCATCATAGTGGTTCAGTACATGTAGATGCTCTCCTAAGCAATCAAAGATTTTGTTTTTGTTCAGACATTCTAAATAAGTACATTTAAGTAAGCTTGGAGGTTAAGCCAGATTGGGGGACTTTGGCTCAGTTGCCTATTTTTATCTCAGCGATTTGTAGTGTCTTTGTATCTCTAACCATGGGTCAGATACTTATTTCGATGTCATTTGCTGGTTTTATGATTCTAGTTGAATCTTCTTTTCATGAGTTGATATATTTTCCTAACATTACTGTGACAGTGAGATGAATACTGAGGGGAAACAAACAAATGCATGCTCCTTACTAATAAGTAACCTACTAGCCAAAGCTAAGAGGAAATAGGATTGGCAAAGATGTTTTTCTGGGCATGTGAAAAAAGTAGAAGTGGAGAGTCAGTTCTATTGAAATTGACATAGCCAGACTTTAAAGAGAGCCTCAAAGGTAGACTAATTAGGTTGGTGTTTCTACGCTGATTATAGTTCTGTGATATTTTATAATCCGTTAATCTCTAAGTCAGAATCTTCCTCAGTAGTGGAAGTCAATCCTATGTCATAGGCCTTGAGTTTCAACTTAGATAGTCTAAACTGAATTTATAAATTGTAATGATTATTTGTTCAGTTTCTTCTATATTTGGGCCATATGTGCTAAGGACGGGTGCTAGAACAAAGAATGAGACAAAAATTTCTATGCTTATGCGGAACCCAAAGTCCTTTGGGAGAGCTTATGGGTCATCATTTACTAATACCTCAAGACAAGAAAGGACAGACTCCATTTTAACAAATACCATAGTAATGCATGTTCTTAGAAGAAAGGGCACTATAGAAAAGTACAAGGAAAGTGGAGGGCACCTAAAAATCTTCCTCTCTGAAATAACTATAATCAGGTAAACATTACCTGTTATATGTAGACAGAAAGATAAATAGGAACAACTAATCATGTAAAAGTGGAATCTTGTGTATGTTTAAAAATGAAATAGCTAGACTCAATTTTACTTAAATGCAAATAAAAAATGTACAACTACAATGAATGACAGCAAAGGAATGGATGTAACATCAAGAATTATCTTTTTCTCTATTATAAGTGATATAAAAATCTAAAATATCTGTAGCGTTCAGATATAAGAATATTTATTTATTTATTAAAATAATAAATTTTATTTTTATATTCCCCATACAATTGCAACCCCCCAATTCTGACCCCAATTCCTCCCCTCCCGCCCCCCACCCCCCAAAAAGTATCTCTGGTTCATAGTTTTTTGTTGATTTTGATTTTCACTTTCTTATAGTTATTCATTTTCCTGGTCCCTTATTTAAGTTTTCTAGATTCCTGCTATGAGTGAGACCATCCGGTACTTTTCTTTTTCTTTCTGGCTTATTTTGCTGAGCATGATCCCTTCCAGCGCCATCCATGTTGCTGCAAATTGCATGTGTTTATCTTTTTTGAATGCTGAGTAATATTCCATGGTATATATGTACCACATCTTCTTGATCCAGTCATCTATTTTTGGGCATTTGGGCTGTTTCCAAAGCTTAGCTATTGTAAATAGTGCTGCTATAAACATAGGGGTGCAGGTGTTCTTTGGAATGGATGTTTCTGTGTCCTTTGGGTAAATACCTAGGAGTGGAATTGCTGGATCCTATGGAAGCTCTATGTTTAGTAGGTCCAGAAATCTCCACACAGCTCTCCATAGTGGTTGGACCAGTTTGCACTCCCACCAACAGTGCAGGAGAGTTCCTTTTTCTCCACAACCTCGCCAACATTTGTTGTTGCTATTTTTTTTAATATGTGCCATTCTCACTGGTGTAAGATGGTATCTCATGATAGT